CTAAGTAAAAAAACAAAAAAAAACAAAACAAAAGGAGACAGAAAATGAAACAAAATTAAAGAAAGATGAAAAGAAAGAAAAATAAATAAAAAAAAAAAAAGGAGGAAATGAAGAAAGGCAGGAAAGAAATAATGAATACAAGGAAGATCGGAGAGAAAAAGAAATAAAGGAAGGAAAAAGAGGGAAGAGAAGAAGGAAAGGAAAAAGAGGGAAGAGAAGAAGGAAAGGAAAAAGAGGGAAGAGAAGAAGGAAAGGAAAAAGAGGGAAGAGAAGAAGGAAAGGAAAAAGAGGGAAGAGAAGAAGGAAAGGAAAAAGAGGAAGAGAAGAAGAAAGAAAAGGGGGAAGAGAAGAAGAAAGGAAAAGAGGGAAGAGAAGAAGGAAAGGAAAGAGGGAAGAGAAGAAGGAAAGGAAAAAGAGGGAAGAGAAGAAGGAAAGGAAAAAGAGGGAAGAGAAGAAGGAAAGGAAAAAGAGGGAAGAGAAGAAGGAAAGGAAAAAGAGGGAAGAGAAGAAGGAAAGGAAAAAGAGGGAAGAGAAGAAGGAAAGGAAAAACTGATGAAGAGGATTCAGGAGAAAAAAAGAAATGGTATAAGAATTCAACATTCTTTGGAATGTTTGGCAAAACCTCAGCAAATTGCCAATTGTTTCAAACTTTATAAAATGCTAAATAATAAATATCTTGTTGGTTCAAATTTTTCTATGATTTTAGTAAATTTTTATAAGTTTAAGAATAAAAAAACATTTTCAATTTTTTTCAATTTTAATTTTATTTGTTATGATTTTTTAGAATGTTGGAAATATAAAATCATTAAATTTGTACTGTTCACTTTAGTAAATAAATTTTAGAATGTTGGAAATATACTGTTTCTTTGTAAATAAATACTGTACTGTTTACTTTAGTAAATAAATACTGTACTGTTTACTTTAGTAAATAAATACTGTACTGTTTACTTTAGTAAATAAATACTGTACTGTTTACTTTAGTGTTTAATATTTTTGTTGTAAATTTTCAGGGACAAAATGTATAAATTGTACTGTTTTCTTTAGTGTTTGAGTTTTAATATTTTGTTTAAGATTCTATGTGCTGTCACTTTCATATTTTGACAACAATAAACATTGTGGAAGGTACAAGTTAAAAATAATAGAAATAATAGAAATGTCAGGTGTGGGTGGGGGGGACTTTCATTTTGGCATACTGTTCTATTGCAAGCATGACGTGTTAAAGATTGCCAAAAATTGTTATATTTGATTGCACTAAGTATGTTTGGATAACACTATTTGTAACCAGAAATCTTTATTTACTGCCAACCCTCAAAAATCTTCATTTACCTCCCAAGCCTTAAAATTCATTATTTGTCCCCGCCCGCCAAGCCTTAAAATTCATTATTTGTCTCCCCCCCCCAGCCGTAAAACTCATTTGACCCCACCAAGCCTTGAAATTCATTATTTGTCCCTCAGGCCTTAAAATTCATTATTTGTCTCCTAATCAGCATGGACCAGGAATAAATATGTAGTCTCTGACAATATGGGCCTCCATGGCCAAATTGGTGAGGTGTCCATGTCAAACAGGATGTTAAAGATAGAGAATGTCAGTTCAAATCTTGTTAGAGGTGACTTCTTTATCTTTTTAATCCTACAGCTTGTTTAATTTTTAGAATGTAAACACCCCTGCCACTCCCCAATATTTTCAATAAAATCAACCAAATTTAGATTTGATAGATTAACCTGTAATGGTGATACTTAAATTAACTGGTCTGCTCATTTAAAAAAAATAGGAATATTAATTCAAATTTGAATAAAACCCAAACCTATAAAAGTGGATTTTTACATTTTCTTTATTCTTAAAGAATTGACAACACAGAAAGGGAGGCAAGGTATTTGTTGTTCTGGTGAGACAAAAAACGTACTAGGAAGAGGGAAAAAAGTAAATTATGTCCTGATCCCAAAAAGAAAAGGTATTGAGCAAAATTTTGGAAGGTATTGTAATGGTATATTCCACTATCCCTATTGACTATTATGGACTGACTATTCAGTAATATATATAATGTGCACAGGATATACCAGAGTCTGACAGTCTGTCTCTCTGACTGGCTTTGGAAAGTGTTAGTTGACTCCCTGTCTTCAGTAGTGTATTCTCGTATACAATAAACCATCTTCCATCTATGGCCATGTTGCTGTTTCTTTTATTAGAGTACCACCTTTGTCTGTTTGTAACCTTTTTAAGGATGCAATAGTATTACAAAATAATAGCTGTCAAGGGAAAAACTGTCCTTTTGACACACCCTTTTATTCCAGGCACAAAGGTTAAATTTTGCCTATCTGTTATGATTTAATTTTCATAACTATCTCAAAATTTTATTATTTTTTTTTCTGTTTTCTTTGCAGGCTTTTTCAAATTGGCGTCTCATCATTTTAATTGCCAGACCACCTTGTAAAGTAAGTGAATCTTAATATGATTCTGCGTTGTTTCATACATGAATGTTTCTCTCTGGCAGGATATGCATAAATCTGTTCTTGCTTTTAAATCTCAGATTATTTGTCTCATTGAAGGTTTGCTACAGATTTCCTTAAGATTCATAAATGAAATCTGCATCCTAGAACTTTGAAGATTCAATAGCATGCTCAATCATATCCAGAAATGGAATCTCCTCTTCGTACCGTTTTCATTATTTTGCATCTGTTCTTAATTTAGTAGCAGTTAATGCGGTTAAACTTTGAGCACAAGCGTTAATAATTTTTCTTGTGTTGTTGTGAAATGTTCATGCAGATTTTGGTTACAGATGGAATGCATTTTCAAAATCTATAACATGCTATCAGTCACCAAGTCTACATCCGTCTTGGGTATGGCGATAAACAACGTCCAACATCAAGACCTCAGATCAGGATGTTTTGAGGAGTGTGGAACTGCCTATTAATTGCTGGTGTTCTCAGGTCCATCCTGACCTGGGGTGGTAGCACCTGTCAGGGTCCCAGCTATGGGCAAATAGTTAACCCTCAAACTGGGGTCAAAACACTATGAAAGTGTAAAAATAGGTTTTAATACCCAAAATACTTTGTAAAAAAAAAAATCATTACCAGAAATATATTTTTGAAAAAAAAGATATTGCCAACAATGAAAATTGTTGGCATTAAATAACCCATTGAGGTTGATATGCCGTATAACAAACCAAACCAGGTCTTCATCATCCAACAAAGAAACGCCTGTATGGACACCTTCTTCCTATCTCAGGTTTGCAAAGAGAGAGAAGGCTTCGGCTAGCTGGTCACTCTTGGAGAAGTAAGTCAGAACTTGTGATTGACACTCTCCTATGGAACCCATTGCGTGGCAAAAAATCGGTTGGAAGACCTCATCACACCTACATTGACCAACTTGTAGATGACTGTGGATACCATCTGGAGCACCTGCCGACAGCGATGTCTGTCAGATGGTTGGGAGCAACAAGTCAGGAGAATCCGAGAGAAATTCTCGACCTGATCATATACAATTTCGAATGCTGTTTTTCAAGGCAGGCAGGCTCTCCTCATTTTCCTGAGGGATATAAAAGAATCTTCCTATATATCCCACAATTTAGACTTGTACTATTCTTGATTTAATTTTTTTTTTTTAAAATGAAGTACAGTATAAGGCTAAGTGGAGCAAAAATTCCAAAAGGAAGATTATGTTACACTCTTAATGGGGAGGGCCTAAACCAAATGCTGTATAAGGTTAAACTGTATAGACACCTTCCTCCTATCTCAGTTTCACCAAAAGGGAGAAGGCTTCGGCTAGCTGGTCAATCCTGGAGAAGTAAGTCAGAACTTGTGAGTGACAATATTTATTGTATATAAAATACAATTGTGGCACAAGGCCAAAAAGGGGAAAGGGGGGTTGAGGCAGGTCTTCACTATCTTATAACTAGCTAATCCGATTCACGACCAATGCATTCATTTCATTTTGAACATTGTGGCGGACATGAGACAGAACCTGGGACGAGCACAACTGGTCGCAACTTGCCTTGTCCCCGCAAAAAAAGAGCCCATATTTGCTTAGCATGTAAAGCTACTGCAGTTGAAATGAGGGAGAGAAAAAAGCACTTACCTCTCTGCTGTAATCCATCCTCGGCCAGATAACGTAAAAGAATGAGGGGGGACTGGCATCGCATTTTTATGCAATAACGATGCAATGCATTATGGGACATGGACGCAATGAATTATGGGATCACATGAAGACGCAAGGGATTATGGGTACATGAACAACTATAAAAACAACTACTTTTTTCCGAGTTGGGGAGTTCTTCGAGGGACGTTCACGGTTGACGGCTAGAACGGGCAGTTAGTGTGATTTGGAGACAACTCAAGAAGGAACGACTCAAGGTTGAAATACCAGCTGGGAGAGCTTGAATTTACTCGCTGGTTACTGTTTTCTTCATTCGCCTCAAACATTCAACACAAAAACTCGTCCATCACCAAACAATCCTCCATACACCATAATACTGCATCCTCTCAGAGGCGGGGGACCTACAAAATGTACCCTGTGATTTAAAAATTTGATGATAAAAAATATTTTTTTTTATAGATAAGTCCAATATTTTGATGATGAGGGGGTGGGATGAACCCAAAAAACAAACTAAATACCAACACAAAGAAAACTAAAACATAACTGATGTTCGTAGGCCCTGTCCAACCCCTCCAAAAAAAAAAAAGAGAGTCCATTGTATTCTTCACATTGAGCAAAACCAAGAGGTTCTCTCACTAAGGGAAAGGCAGAACTTGTGAGTGACACTCTCCTATGGAACCCATTACGCAGCAAAAGATCAGTTGGAAGACCTTATCATACCTACATTGACCAACTGATAGATGACTCTGGATGCCATTTGGAGGACCTGCTGACAGAGATGGTTGGAAGGAATGAGCCAGGAGAATCTGAAAAGAATTCTTGACATGATGATGGCAGATTTTTATTTTTTTTCTTTAATATGAAAATATTTATTCTTCAATTTATCTCTGCTGCACTTCAGTTTTTGTTTGGTGCAGATAATCATCTGAATAAAAGTGGAGGGAGAGGTGTGTTTTTTAATTTGGTTCTGTTTAGCCCAAAAGCTTCTGTGACTAAATTGATTTAATGTATTCTCTCACAACCCTATCTCTGGGAGATATGTTTACAGGAAATGGGATATGCGAGTTCAAGTCTTACTGGAGGTAACTTTATTTCTAGTTCACATAACTTGCTTTATCTTTATGCAAAGTATAGCAACCTAAGCATGGTAAAAAGTGGCAAGAATATAGATGAAATAAAAACGTGTTAGAATTAATATAAGATTGTTTTTGACATAATGAAGTCTTATGTGATAGAATTGCAGGAATTCTATGGACTAAGTCTTTAATTTGGTTGATTACTTCAGAAATGGTAAGACCAGGATCTTCACATTTCTTGAGTGTTTCCTGTGGAATTAGATAAGGACTAAGATTAATTGCCATAATGGTTCTATTTAACCAATCTGTTATCTTATTGACAGCCAAAAACGATCGCCAGATATTCACATGCTTATGCTTTTTACAAAAGTGAGGACAGCTGTTCCTAACTTTAGTGCTACTCACTTCTTTCTTGAAGAGCAAGTGCTATTTTTTACCCAGAAAATCAAAAATGTTTGGTATTAGAGGGCAGGGGAGTTTGAGGATTAATAACTCAATTCTGTAATTTTTTTAACCGATTTTGACATCTGTCAGATGAAATTAAAATTTTTATTATTGCTTTATTCCAAAATTTTAACATATCAGCAGATAGCTGTTAATGTCAACAAATGAGCACAATTAGCTATTAATTAAAATAATTAGTGATTAATGGATATTATCCATAGCTACATGTACAAAAATAATGTTTTTGATAAAAGTTTAAAAAATAACCATAAATACGTAAAAAATGTGTATATTATCGAATATTCCCTTTTCCGCAATATAGTTATTTGTGCTATATTATAATGCTTATTAACTAAACTATAATATTACTGAATAATTTTTTTCCAACATTAAAGTATATTTAATCACATCTCCCTAATAGCTGTCACAATCTGTCAAATAGCTGCTAAACACTTTTTCTTGTCAGCTGGTATATTTGTTTTTTGAGATCTGTAATTCCTTTTGGAGTTAACAGGAAATCTACAGAATTCAATTATCTTACAATTCTATATATACATAACAAATGCATATATAGCTATTTGTGATATGTTATAATGCTTATTACCTAAACAATAATAATAATGAATATTTTTTTTTTTTTAAACATTAAAGTATATTTAATCACCTCTCCCTAATAGCAGTCAAGAACTTGGTCTGCATGTACATCAAAAATCAGATTTATAGAGAATTTCTATAGCTTGAAATTAAAGTACATGCTACAGACAATATGACATATATATATATATATATATATATATATATATATATATATATATAGCCTTAAGGTGTGCTATATTTATGAGATAAAGTGCTCAATGTCAGAGAAAGAGCATGTGTAAATATAAAAGTGAACATAGAAGTCAACACTCTGTTTCATGCTATATGCAATCATCAGGCCACATGTGCTGTTATTTTTCTCGGCTATTTATATATATATATGGGTCAGTGGTGCATTGTTGGTAGTCTATTATGGCGGTTATTTTACCGGAAGTCGTTTATTTATTTGGGTTAAATTATTTTGCTTGTTTTTATTTATTTTTATTTTTTGTTTCTTATTTTATTTTTTGTTTCTTATTTTATTTATTTATTTATTTTTTTTTTTTTTTTTAATCGGTGTTTTTATTAACGTAGTAAAAGTTTGTTTATATCACTTATTTAATAGTTTTGTTTTGCTTTGAGAATTTAATTAAAGCTATTCGTTCGGTTTTGGGGTTGATTGTTGTAGTTTATTCTAACTATTATTTTGGCAGGAACAGTTTTTGATTTGTGTTTATTTGGGTTGATTATCTTTATTTGTTTTTTCTAATGGTAACTTTATTGGGATTGGTTTGTTTATTTATTTACTTGGATGAATTTATGTCAATTTATTTTACTTGTATATTTTCTCTTTTTCAGTTTTCGATTTTTAAGTAACGTAGTATTTTTTTTTTTTTTTTTTTTTTTTCGTTATATAACAGTTATAGCTATTTTTTTCCAATTTTTTGGTTTGATTTTTTTTTAGTCTTACTAATATTTTGGTCATAATGGTTTGCTAATTTGTTTATTATTTACTTTATTTGGGTTTGTTGTTTTTTTTTTTTGTTTTTATTATTATTATTCTATTTTGTCTATTCTAACAGGTGTGATTTGGTAATTTATTTGGATTAATTAATTTTGCTTATTTTATTATTTTATTTATTGTTTTTTATATATATATATATATATATATATTGTCAGATATTAATTTCTGCCTGAATTTTTAGGACAGGAAATTAACAGTCGGACTAATGTCTTCAAATTTA